CCATCTAAGAATTGGGGAACCCACATATAACCTACAACCCCGCCCCCTTCGACATGTCCCGCCTTTTTGGGCCAGACCAATGGAAAATCTCTTCACTAAATTTTATCTGTCAATCTCAAAAACAAATAAAAAGAACCCCTGTACATGATCACCCTGAGAAAGGCAAGTATGTCTCTTCTCCGGGCCTAGGTCACTCATATTTGGCTTGGAAATAAACCACATTGAGTATTAATTATAATTTTTACAATTGGTTATTCTCCCGTTGACATATAGAAAATGCTCATGCTATAAAGCTAATTGAAAGAAAACAAGATTTAAAACTATATGTATGCTATGATTTCAATTTGTTTTTATTGACAGAATATTATGTGCTTGCCAGAGAGACAGAGACATGAGAGGGAGAGGGAGAAAACACCCTCCAGTGGAGTGTGGTCATGCTGCAATCCCTTCTCCTCCATTTCTTCAACCTGTCAAGATTTGAAGCACACACATGCATATACTGGAGTATTCCCAAGCTGCTGGGGCCAGGATTCAGACCTCTATTGGCCATTCAGGATCTGATTCAACTATTAGGCCATGGAGCTGGCCCCCTTTTTTTCTTTTTTCTTTTTTTCTTTCTTTTTTTTTTTTTTTGAGAGGTTTTTTAGCTATAGGGCATATGTGCTTGCCAGACAGACAGAGAGAGGCAGAGAGACTGAAAGCAAGAAATCACCCCCCTGGGGGGATGGCCATGCCGCAATCCCTTCTCCTCCATTCTCCTCTCGGGATCTTGGGCACGCACACACATGTGCCTGGCGTGAGTTTTAAGCCACTGGGTCCAGGGCTTGAACCATGGTCGACTGCATGGGAGTCCAGCAACATAGCCATTATGCTAACTGCTGGTCCCACCCCTTTTTTTCTTTTTAAAATCAGACCTGCAGAGAAAGACACAGGCAAAAGCCACCTCATTGTTAAATATTGGTTATCTCTGGGGAGATGAAATATGGTGTGATTTAAACATTTTAAATTTAAAATTCTTTCTTTTGCTTTATTTTCTATTTTCTTTACAATTAGAAAAGGACACAAAGAATATAAAACAGACACATCGAAAGGCAAATAATCCCACCTACCGTTGAAAGAAATGCAAATTAAAATGTTATTCATGTTTCCATCTCAAGAGCAAACACAGGGTAGAAGAGTAGTTTCCCTGCGGAGCTGGTTTATGGCGGCCTGGGCCACCTTGATGGGTCTAGAGGAAGTCTCACCATTGTCTCGCAGCATGCCCGGTACCTCAGAATGGAACTTTCTGAAACAACTGGGCCTCCTGGGAACAGAGGAGGATATCTGGGCCCCGAACCAGAGGATTATTCCAAATTCACTAAGACCTTCTCTCATTTGCTTTCGAATCACGCTGCTGTTAGACAGCCCAAAACGTGGTCACCAACTCAGCGAGTGAAGCAAATAATATTACAAGTCATGTTGAAACTGCAGTGGCCCCAAGGAGCCCACCAGGGGGTGCAGGCGGGCCCCTGAGTTGGGTCAGTGTGCCCCAGTGTTGGAGGCACAACTGGGACGTCATCTAGTGGCCAGGTGCTACCGAAGATGGGCCTCTCTTGAGTCAGGCCGCCATATTCCCAAGTGCTGTCTTTGGCCTCTCGGGGCCAGAACTGAAGTCTTTCCTTAGACACTCAGAGATAGCATGTCAGAAAGAGACGATTGGAAAGACGACCACTCTGCCCACACTTCCGTGCAACAGATTATAGTGGCCGAGAGCTCTTCCCAGTAACAAAATACAAAGAGGTGTCTTCTTTGTATTTTGAAAGTTAATGGAAAAGACGTACTATGGAAAAAACTGTGCATGGATTTCAGTGATTCGTTTTGCACCAAAATAAACCTGCCCTTGAATTCCATTGTCTCACAAACGTTTTGCAGGTCCCTCGCATATTCTCCATCTTTCATGGTGGCAAGCTCCTTGAGAAGGACACTGCCCCTTAGGATGCCACTTAATGAGCACAGAGTAGGCCTAATGTGAGCTGAATTATTTGGAAGGGTCTTAGATTTCATCCAAGCACCCGGGTATGACCGTCCTTCAATGGTGACCCCATTGGTCTAAGGCTCAACCCCCACCCAGATCCTACTGGAGGCCACTGATGGTATTTGCCTCTGTGAACCCTGTATCTTTTGCCAGCAAGTGACCACACTATCTGTCATTAGAGACTGTTGTCAAAGAATGGCTATTGCCCAAGGCCACTCTACACAGCCCTCCCTGCCTGAGTGCAGACTGATTTCATAAACGCTGCAATCTGCAGTATGACCCTTCTTCCTGGCAGGGCATCTGCCTCCAGACCTTGCTTCGGGCGCTTTTCTATTGCCTCACCTGTGTTCGTGCTCACTAGGGGGCTGGTCTATTGCCTCACTTGTGTTCGTGCTCACTGGGGGTCTGGTCTGGTCTGTGTTTCCACCACAATAAGGACGATAAGGACGGAGGTGGTAGACTATGAGTCAAGGCTAATAAAACACCGTGGGACCCTCTCTGGGCCTCCTTTTCCTTATCTGCAAACTCTGGGTTTGGACCCAATTATCTCTGACTACCCACAGACTTGTGATTCTCCGACTAAGAAAAGCAAAACAGCAAAGACAAAAAAGTATGAATTTTCTTGTTGGGAAAAGCTCAGTCTACTCATAATGAGATAAAGAATGAAAATAATTGCCACCATTTGTGGAGTATCTTTTGCCAGGTCTGCGCTGTAAGCTTCGATCTCATACTAAAGCCCCACAGCCCTGGGAGTGGCACTTCTTTCACTCTTCTGTTTCTGATGAGTAGGATGAGCCTCAGAGATGCTAAGAACTTGCCTGGGTCCACAGAGTTATGTTGGGACTCATCACAGATCTTTGCCTCTGAATTTCATTGTTTCCCTCTGCTTTGGGGATGTCTGGAGCTCAGAAGCGTAGTCAGCTCCATCTCACATGGTCTTCCCTTCATTTAGACCCCGAAGTCCTTGCTATGTAGGGTTTTGTTAATGAGCTTCCTCACTTTCTTCCTCTCCTGTTCTAGTCAGCACAATTAATGAACGAGGAAATACTGATTTCTTATGATAGAAGTGAAAGGACTTTTCCCCCCTCTGATTTGTATTTCTCAAGTCAAAAGAACAATTTTCTCCCTTTTTGGGAGTTCAGAAATATGTTAAAATTTAATTAAAAGTCTCATGATTTGGGGTAACTTGTGGCCTGGTGCTAAGGCAGCTGGATCCACATGGCAGACTGCATGGTTGGAGTCCTGGAACTGGTGTGTGTATATCCCAAATCCTGAAAAATAGAGAAGGAGGAGGGAACCAGCAGTTAGCGTAATGGCTATGTCACTGGACTCCCATGTAGTCGACCGCGGTTCGCGTCCTGGACCCGGTGACTTAGAACTCATGCCGGGCGTGTGTGCGTGTGTGCCCAAGATCCCAAGAGGAGAATGGAGAAGAAGGGATTGCGGCATGACCATCCCCCCTGGGAGGTGATTTCTCGCTTTCTGTCTCTCTGTCTCTCTCTGTCTGTCTGGTGAGCGCACGCGCCTTATAGTGAAAAAAACCTCTCCAAAAAAAAAAAAATAGAGAAGGAGGAGAAGGGAGTACAGTGAGCCTAATGGCTATGTCCCTGGACTCCCATGTAGTCGACCGCGGTTCGCGTCCTGGACCCGGTGACTTAGAACTCATGCCGGGCGTGTGTGCGTGTGTGCCCAAGATCCCAAGAGGAGAATGGAGAAGAAGGGATTGCGGCATGACCATCCCCCCTGGGAGGTGATTTCTCGCTTTCTGTCTCTCTGTCTCTCTCTGTCTGTCTGGTGAGCGCACGCGCCTTATAGTGAAAAAAACCTCTCCAAAAAAAAAAAAATAGAGAAGGAGGAGAAGGGAGTACAATGTGACCACACCCTACTGGAAAAATGCTTTGCCCTCTCTCTTTCTCTGTGGTGAGTGCCAGGGCCCTCTGGCAATGAAACAAGAAAGAAGAAAGATTTTTCCGTACTAAGACTGTGCTATAAAACTCCCAAACACTTTGACTAAGCTATCTCCATGGCAAAAAATTTATCTGAAGGAAATGGAACTGAAGAAAGAAAACTACACAGATGAAAGTGTTGTAAAATATGTATTTGCTAAACATTGGGAACAAGTTAAACGTTTAGGAACAGAGTCATGGTGAGGAAATCGCAGTACACAATCTTGAAGAAACATGACTCACTTTCTCATTCATTAAACCAATGTGCAGACTGCCAAGGAAGTATCAGAGACGCGGCAACAAAACAGATACCAAAGTTGCTTTCATTGAGTACACAATCTGGGAGAGCCATCTAAAATGATCATCACAAAATGCATAGAAACAGAGGGCTAAGGTCAAGAGGGAGAAAAGATGACAAAACTGCACATTATGATTGCGACTCTAAATACGCGAAGGTGTCAACACGGTCTGGACTCGTGAGTTCAGGAATGAAGACGTTTGCGAGGTTAGACCACAGATGACATTCTCTTTATCCTTATTACAATTGCTTTTCAAACTTGAATGTTTTGCACCCTCTCGCATGTTCACTGAAGACAGAAAGCTGCTCCTGTGACCCTGGCTCTCCTGGTAGGCAGTGGCATGGATGGTGTCCTTGTTTTTGTTTTTGGTTTTGTTTTTCCCCAGGTGGGCAGAGGCTTGTCACAAGGCAATTGGGAGAGATATTCAAGGCATTCAAGAGGGTTACGTCAGGGAAGGCCATCAGACTGTAGAACTAGTGATGTTCACCGGGTGCCATAGAAAGAACTAAACTTAAGGGAAATGAAATGAAAGAGAAAAAGGAAAAGAAAGAAGAAGAAAGGAAGGAAGGGAGGGAGGAAGGAAGAAAAGGAAAGAAAGAAAAAGAAAGAGAAAGAAAGAAAGAGAAAGAGAGAGAGAAAGAAAGAGAGGAAGAAAGAAGAAAGAGAAAGAAAGGAAGGCAAAGAAAGAAAGAGGAAGGAAAGAAAGAAAGAAAAAGAAAACAAGAAAGAAGAAAGAAAGAAAAAGAAAAAGAAAGAAAGAAAGAAAGAAAGAAAGAAAGAAAGAAAGAAAGAAAGAAAGAAAAAGAAAGAACGAACGAACCAGCCTTCTCTGTGTCTGCACAGTGCAGAGGTATCAGGTGACAGGAGAGGGGGAATCTGGGAACAAGACAAGAGTGCTGGGACCTGCAATAGCTCGTGGCTGGTTCCTCTTGGAAAGGATCCTCCCTGTGCAAAAGGTATCATTATCCCCTGTCCACAGATGAAGGAACCGAAGCTTGGTTAGCCCCCCATGGGCAAGCGAGAGCAATGGGATTGCATCCCACTTTGGGCCAGTTTGTAGCCGGTGCTTGAGGCTGCTGGATCCACATGGCTGACTGTGTGGTTCAAGTCCTGGATCTGGTGGCTTGAGAAACATGCTCTGTGTGTGTGTATGCATGCCCCAAATCCTGACAGGATGAGAAGGAGGAGAAGGGAGTACAGGGTTCTTTCTATTTCTGTCCCTGAACATGGTAGCAGGTGGAGATGCGTGAGGTCACATGGAAGAGACGTGGCTGAGGCTGAGTGGAAAGTGGAAAGTCCTTTCAGAAGGGGAAAGTGCTAGGGAATCTGGTGGCAATGGAGGGTTTCAGAGGCCAGGCATCTGAGTTTTGACTTGATGCAATGGACAATGGGGACACGATAGAAGGGGGGTTAATAGGAGGAAGCTAGTGGTGGCTGCTGGCCATTGTGGTCATGGAAGAGGCTGGGTCAGGCCCATGATAAAGAGGATGTGTAGCTCTCCTTACATCACATCAGAATAGTATCTATCACTCTGACTTCTTGGAAATAGGTCTTCTGTATCTCTAATGAGATGGGAATGGAAGATATCATTTTTATATTCCTTCCACCCACTCCAGGGATGGTCACCTGATACAAACTTGGCCAATCAGAACCCTTCCCTGGAATTTTGACCTTGTGATTTGAGAGGGATGGGAGTCAGTTTCTCTCTGGTGTAAAGCTGTGTTATATGAGTCTAGGAGATGCATCACTATTCAAAGATTTAAGTCAGAGAGGAAAATCTAGCTAGTTTCAAGCCTCCTGCATGAACAGCACTTACCACTCCCTCTTAATTAAGCTAGTCTGCATTGAATTTTTGCCATTTGTAAACAGAAAAAGCTCTGACATTTGTAGTAAGAGACATGTCTACCCTTTTTCAACTTTTGAGCACAATCCTCTAAAATCCTGGGGTTGCTTTGTGGCCATTGGATCCATGATTTGCGGCATCTAAGAAACAAAGGAAAAATCTATCTTCATTATCCAGTGTCAGAATCAGGAACTCTGGGTGTTCCATAGAATCAGGAACCTTGAGTGTTCTGTGGAGACGAGGCTTTGGGGATCCCTTCAGAGAAGAAGGGATGCATCTCCATCACTCGTGTAGTGAGTAAAATTGCTGCTCAGAACGCTTTCTCGCTTGCTCCTTTGCGATTCAGATGGGGAGAAACTGACATGGACTGGACGACCACACAGGACCGCCAGGCATTTACTGTACAGGTGGTAAAGGTATCTTCTGAACTTCTCCCCGGCAAACGCATAGATAAGGGGATTGAGGCAACAATGGCTAAATGCAATGATCTCCGTCACACTGAGGGCCAGCCTCAAGTCCCTCTTCAAGTCACAACTAGGAAAGAAGTCGTAGAGTTTGAGCGTCTCCAGGAAAATGACAACGTTGTAGGGAGTCCAGAAGAGGAAGAACACAATAACCACCAGTAAGATCAGTTTGATCGCTTTCGCCTTCTTGTGATTTTTGCAGGAAAACAGTGTCCGGATGATTCTGAAGTAGCAAAAACTCATAATGAGCAAGGGCAGAAGGAAGCCGAGAGAATTTACTTCCACGTTGCGGAGCACGGGCCAGATTTCCTGGAGCACCTCAGGGTAGTCACCAAGGCATTCGTTCTCCTTCCGCTTTGTGAACATGAACTGGGGTGCCGCCACTAAAATCGCTGCTGCCCAGACACCGAGGCTGATGGTGACGCCATGCTGTACGGTCCGGTTGTTCATGGAGTTGGCAGCCATGACAATGGCCAGGTACCTGTCAATGCTGATGACGGTGATGAAGAAGATGCCCCCAAAGTAGCCGATGAAGAATAGGGCGGTCGTGAGTTTGCACACGGCATTGTGGAGGCCTTCTTCGTTGATCACATAGTGAGTCCAGAAGGGCAAGGTAGCTACAAAGAGCAGATCCGACAAGGCCAGGTTCAGGAGGTAGATGTCGGCGATGCTCTTGTGCTTCTGGCTATTAGTGAGGGCAAACACCACCAGCAAGTTTCCCACCAGGCCAAAGGCGAATACAAGGGAGTAGAATATGGACATGAAGACTGTCCCAAAGGCCACGATGTCCCCCAAAAAACAGGCTTCGGCAGACTCATCGTACTCAAAGTCTTCTAAAACTGAATCAGGGGAGAGGCTGGACATGGCGAAGGCTAGATTGGAAAGGAAAACAAGTAACAGTGTTAGTTCTTGGAAGAAGAAAGTTGGGATTCTGTCTAGTCCCAGTGTAGGCAGACAGGAAGAAACAAACAGTGGTTGGGTGCCCACTAAGTTTCCCAACTCCACATGGGTCATCTTGTTTAATCCCCCTAGTCTTGGGATGGAGGATGCCACAGACCCCTTTAACAGAAAGGAAGCCAGGTCTCTGAGAGGTTCAGTGACTGGCCCAAAGTCAACTCTGAATGGCTCAGTAAGCATTTGGATCTCGGCCTTTTGTAAGTTTGGACAGATTTCGCTTTCTTTGATCTTCGAAAGTCTTCCTATGATGTAGCTAGCTTGGATGGGGTGGGGTGTGAAGGGTGAGATAGCATGTGTGGGGGTGCAACATAATTCCCATTCCTGACCTCCTCAAAGCAATTCTCCAGTGTCTTCCTTTATTTCCACCTTCTCCACCTGTGGCCTCTCATTTCTCACCCATGAAGTTAGTTATGGAGAGGTCTCAAACACTCTCCCAGAGCCCTGAGAAAATTGACACCTAGAACCCCTCATATTTCTTTTCCTTTTTCCTTCTTTCTTTCTTTTTCTTTTTTATTAATTTTTTTTTTTAAGGATTTTTCTCCTGAGGGCACATGTACTTGCTGGAGAGGGGAGAGACAGAAGGAGACGGTGACAGTGAAAGTTGAGAAATCACCCCTGGAGGGATAACCACACCACAATTCCTTATTCTCCATTCTCCTCCTGAAATTTTGGGCACACACACACACTTGGTATGATTTTTCAAGCCACCGGGTCTGGGACTCGAATTGCCATCAGCTATGTAGGTGTTCAGCACTGTAACCACCATGCCACCTGCTAACGCCATCATTTTTCTTTCTTGAGAGCCATTTTCCTTCCTCTTGGAACCAACAAGTCTTTCTCTTCCTTAGCAGATATTAGACAGAGTCACACATCCGGGGGTGACTGCATTATTTTGGGTTGCCCTGGACTTCCCTGGTTTCACCACTAGTTCTACATATTGGAAATCCTTTAGTCTCAAACCCACCAGGTCAGTTGGTCACCCCATAGTTCTAAGTGCAGAGAAGGCATTGTCCTCAGCCAGGGTCCCACAGTCATGGATGGGCTGGCTGACCCAAGGTGGAGGACAGAGTCTGTTCCACTGGCGAGGTCCCCAGACCACTACCAGGCCTGCACTTCACGTTGGCTCAATCTGCTCCACTGTTCTTATCTCTTATTTCCTTCAGAGCAGGAACTGAGAAAGAGGATACTTCCATGCAGGTTGGGAGGTAAGACTTCTCTCCTTCCCTGTCTCCTCCCATCCGGGACTCACTGGTCATTCCCTTCAGAGCTGGTGACTGAAGCACCCCGTTTGTGTTACTGCTCTGGTCACCCCATCCTCTTCCTTGTGATACCACAGACGAGCCCTTCAAAACAAACGCCTCGGGTTATCACTGCCTCCCTCTTCGCCACAGCTAATGGAAAGCTCACACTTTTTACCAAGGGAGTGTCCACACCCCACTACACCCTTTTCACGATGATTCTACTGAGGAAGTGTCTCTCCCGAATGAAGCCCCACCTACCATATTGCTTCTCCCTTCCCAGCCTCGGCTTGGTCCTGCATCTTACCCAGACTGTCCTGAGGTGAAGCAGGCCAAGGCTCTCCTGCCTGGGCCATCTTGAACTGTGGTGCAATTCTCAACCCATCACAGGCATTCTCGGTTCCAGACTGCCTCGTCCTTAGAGCAGAACTTCTGGCTGAGCCTTTAATCAATAACATTTAAAGTAGAGAGTGGTATAACATTGCTGACCTGCAGCTACTTTTGAGCTTCCTGGAGTCATTGAACATGACTCGTGCTGATAACCTGGAGAGACAGGAATTGCTGCTTGGTGCCTGGAGCTCATCTCAGAGCTTAATCTTCCCAGGTGTGCTGCTGGGTTCTTACATAGTCAAGTGTGTGGTGATTATACGTTAGGGACCCTGGGGCTAGCCACTGTCTCCCTCCCCTTCTCTTTAGTGAAATGAGCTGAAACCAAGAAGAGGCTAAAGTTGATCCAGAAAATCCTTCTGCTTGGCTTTGTGCCTGTGGTCAGTTCTTCAGCCCAGGGACTTCTGTGGGCTCAGGCTCTCATGAGAGTGAGTCCCACATCTGCTCTCTCTGGCTGAGCAATGAGTCAACTTGCTGAGTCTGACGCTCCTCACCAGCAAGACTGGGATTCATTGTCATGCCTGCCGTGGAGCTGTTCTCAGGGAGCACCTGGCACAGAGTATTACATATAGCAGGCACTTAATAAATGCAGCCTCAGGCGAGGATGCAGAAGCCCAAGGACTTTCAAAATCCTCAGGCTGCCTGGGGATTCTTAGCATCATAGAAACTTGATCTTTAAAGGTTGTTCCACCCCCTCCAAGAAATAAAATATACTTTATTTTCAGATTATTTGGGGAAGGGTATAAGTTATCCTTTACTGAACTTTACTAAGCTGCCAATGCCATTGCTAAATCATTATTTATTATTATTACCTATGTAATCCTCCCCGCAATTCTGAAAGTTCTTTATTGAACTCGCCGCTCTGTTGATATTTGTTACAAGAGGAAGAAAAGGGCTGGGAAAAAAGCACAGAGAGGCAGGGATAGTTAGGGTTTCAAATCCAGCCCCTCACCTTGCTGGGTGCCCAGGCTCAGGGCTGCCATGCGCAAAGGGACACCATTTCTGATTTGCCTCCAGATCCCACCTAAGAGGTGGTCCTAGTTCAAGGCTCTCAACATCCACTCAGCAATTGTGTAAGAAGTAGGCTCTGCTTGGCAGAAGCTCCTTTAAAGATCGTTACAGGATAGTCGCAGCCAAGGAAGGGCTTATCATCTCAATGGGGAAAATTCGCATTGATAGAGTACAGGAAGTGGGTCAATTCATTTTGCACAGATGGGATGCAGTTTCTGATAATGCCGTGGGAGGTACAGTTTTGCCTGATTGGTGATTATTTTACTAAGGAAAGCCAAAGACCTAGTCATAGGGACCTTCCCTTCTAGCCAGAAGGATTTTTCTCAGGGAGGACAGAGCAATATTCAGCAGCCCTCGTCTGGGCTACCTGGTGGCCTGAGGTCCCTAGTAAAGACCTCAGAACTATCCCAGCTGCCCCAGGAGCTCCCTCTGCTGAGTCTGCTGTGCTATGCACGTAGGTGTGCAGCCAGCGAATTGCTACCCTGTGATGAGCCATTCTGTCCCATGGTACAGGTGAAGGAAGGGGAGGGACAGCACTTTCAAAGAGTCTCTATGATTCTGAGGACATGCACTTGTCACCTAGAGACATGCCTGCTCTTTGTATTTGTTTCCATTTGGCACACAAGCGGCGCAGCAAGGTTCCTCCAAATCTAAAAATAGAGCTAAGAATTACTGTATGACCCAGTCGTCCTTTCTTGGGTATTTACCCAGAGGACAGGAAATCAGTCTGTAGGAGAGAGATTTGCACATTCATGTTTATTGCAGCAATATGCATGAAAGCTGAGACACGAACTAATCTAAGTGTCCAACAACTGATTAATGGATTAAGAAAATGTCACACCTAGACACAATGAAATACTACTCAGCTGCAAAGAACAACATCCTATTATTTGAAACCAAGTGGATGAACCTAGAAGATAAAATGCTAAGCGAAATAAGCCATACTATGAAAGACAAGTACTGTATATCCCCACTAAACATACACTGAATGTTTGCACTCTGGCAGAAACTGAAAACCTTAATGCAACAACAGTAGAGAGTAATGGCAAATGCTAAAAGCTGCATAGAGAGAGGTAGGTGGGTGGGCTCAGGAGAAAAATCATTACTATTAGTACTACTATTCTAATTTGTTATGAAGTGTGTACACTTACCCGAGGGGGACATAAAGAGAAGGAGAGAGAGAAAGCATCCTCTCAACCCGAGGGGGACATAAAGAGAAGGAGAGAGATAAAGCATCCTCTTAAATGGGATGGTCATACCGCAATCCCTTCTCCATTCTCCTCTCAGAATTTTGGGCATGCATGCACTTGTGCCCAGCATTTTTCAAACCACTGGTTCAGGACTTGAATAACACAGTTAGCCAGGTGGGATCCAGCCACCTTCACCACATCACTGGCTTGCCCAAGAGAAATAATAATTTTTCTAAAAAAAAATTGACTTTTAAAAAGAATTATTTATTTAATTTTATTTATTATTATTATTGTTTTTAAAAGAATTATTAATTTTTGTTGTTATTGTTATTATCATTATTAATTTGGCCCAAGAGAGAGAAAGGGAGAGTGAGGAAGCAAGCAACCAGACCCAGGACTTGAATCGCAGTTGGCCGTATGCAAAGTCCAACGCCTTAACCATCATGCAACCTGTCGGCCCCTATTTATTATTATTATTGTTACATTCACCAGAAAGAGAGAGATAGATTGAGAGAGAAGGAAAGCGAGAAAGCAAACTACTAGGTTCAGGACTTGAACCACAGTTGACCATGTAGAAGTCTGGCACTTTAACCACCACACCACCCGCTAGTCCCCAGGAGAAAATGATTTACAGACACAAGAATGCATGTAAGTAAGTGAACTAGGTTTTGGAATAATATGCCCCAGATGAGTACAAAATGTTATTGACAATTTAATATACACATCAGGACACTATTATCAAGTGTGTACAACATAATGTGATGTTCAGCGTCAAAGAAGGTGAATATGTTTATTCATTGATTTGATCATCACACACTATACTCGTGGTTAATGGTTAAAAAAAGCCGTATGATTATATGGGAACCAGAAATCACAATAAAAAAAAAAAAAAGTGGGACCAGCAGTTGGTGTAATGGCTATGTCCCTGGACTCTCATATAGTCGACTGCAGTTTGAGTCCCAAACCTGGTAGCTTACACTCACACTGGGCGCGTGCATGCCCAAGATCCCGAGAGGAGAATGGAGCAGAAAGGATTGCGGTGTGGCCATTCCCCCTGAGGGGTGATTTCTTGTTTTCTGTCTCTGTTACTCTCTTTCTGATGAGCGCACGTGCCCTATAACAAAAAATCTCTCCAAAAAAATTAATAAAATAAATAATAAAAATAGAAACATACACACACATAAAATACCCCCAAGCAATAATAAAATATGAGGTGTATGAAAAACCAAAGTAAATAAATAACTCAGCACAACAACAAGCGTATCATACATGCGCAACAGTAGCAGCCAACACATGAAAGGATATCTCTACTTTATGGGCAGGTAGACTGAGAGGAAGTAACTTATTCAAGGCCACCTAGCTTCTATGATGGGACTACAAATACTGTGGAAAAATGGAATTAAAGTTCTCCGTGAAGTTTTGAAGACCCAGTGTATGTGGCAGCGCTGCAATTGGGGCCCAGATATGTCCAAGCCTCTACACTTCCTCTAAACTCTGCATCAGAGTCCTCTCCCTTGCTCCCTTCCCTAAGACAAGAAGAGCCTCAGAGAAGAACCAACTCCTCTTCAGCTCTGCAGGCCGGTGTGCAGCAGAGGGAGAGGCTTGGCACACACAAATGCCATCCAAGTTGTTTTAAAAGGATAAGTTTTATATCCAGGAATTTCATTCTAGAACATTCCATGGGAGTAGTGATGAAACAACTCTTTTGACTGGCCTGTCCCTGGAGAGGCTCTCAGGGCATATGGGTGTCCTTCCTGGTCACAAACCAGAGGCCCTTGAACCCTGGGTGCTTAGCAGGTACCTAATGTGTTGAACGATTGAGTGAATGAAAAGCCTAAAGAAGCAAGAAAAGATACTCCTCAAAATGTGGAGCCCCAGGAAATGAGCCAACTCTGTACAGTCAGAAAAATAATTGAGAAAACTCAGCTTGTCAGGACCAGCAGATAGTGGAATGGTTACGTTGCTGGACTCCCATGGAGTCGACCGCAATTCCAATCCAGGACCCGGTGACTTAAAATTCTTGCTGGCTGGATGTGCGTGCATGCCCAAAATCCTGAGAGGAGAACAGAGGAGAAGGGATTGTGGTGTGGTCATCCCCCCTAGAGGGAGGTGATTTCTCTCTTTTGGTCTCTCTCTCTCTCTCTCTGTCTCTCCAGAGAGCATACATGCCTTATAACAACAACAACAACAAAACTCTCTTAAAACAAAAAAAAAGAAAAGAAAGAAAACTCAACTTCTGGGATGGCTCCGTGGTCTGGTGGTTAAGGCAGCCAGATCCCACATGACCAACTGCAGTTCAAATCCCGGATCTACTGGCTTGAAACACATGCTGGCCACGTGCATATCTGTGTCCCAAATCCTGACAGGACAGAGCAATGGCAAGATGGGATTGTGTCATGACCACACCCCACTAAACGTTCTTTCTCCCTCTCCCCCTTCCGATCTCTCTGTCTCTCTCTGGAGAGCACACGTGCTCTCCAGCAATTAAAAAAAAATAAAGAAAAAGAAAGAAACAAAGAGAAAGAAGAAGAAGGACAGAAGGAAAAGAAAGAGAGAAAACATAGCTTCTTATCCTGGTACTCTTGGAAAAGGATCTAAATCTGTGTGTGCAGCTGGTTCCAACCTGCCCTTGGTAGACAAGAGCCCAGAGTGTGTGAAGGCATCGTTTACATCAGAAATCTGACATCACACAAGGCTGTTTTCTCCATGGGATGATTCCACTCCCTTGATAACAATAGCAATGGGCCTTTGTAGGAAGAGTGGGCCCCTGCAGGGTGGACCTTTTATTTCTGGATCCCCTGAGGTGCTCAAGGATTGGGAGATGAACCTAAAGATAGAGCATCCTGGGAGCTGGACGGTGGGATAGCAAATACTGTAACACTGAGGCTGACATACATGAGGAGGTTCCAGGTTCACGTCTGGAGACCTCCCTGAGCACTTCGGCCATGCACATGCCTGTGATCAGGAGATACCTGGGGCTGGGGTTGTCAGGTGGTAACCCTGTTGGGGGTGCCTGTTTCTCGATCTCTCTCTCTTTCTCTCGGTGACTTTCTGTTTCTCTCAGTTTATGGAGGACAGAAAAAAACTTGGCGGTAGTGGTGGGGCGGTGGAATACAATCTCCTGGCAGCCAGGGAGTATGTCCACGTCTTGTTCTTGGGGGTGGCGCTCAGGGTCAGTCAAAGGCCTGATAGGCTTTATCCTCAGGTTGGACAAGGCTTTCCTCTGCTCCTGCTGATACCGTAAACCAAGTGTAACTGAATCTGAGGATTTATGCTGTTCCCGTTAAACACAGGTTTTCCATCCCATGACTGTGGAGTCTTGGTCACTACCATAGCAGTGTGATAAATATGACAATGTAACAGATTTGCTGGAAATTGATAGCTACTTTTGAATATGGTAAGAAATCTGGAAATAGTTGCATGCTAGTAAGAACTATTTTATTTAAAAATGTTCTTTAAAGCTAGATTGTAGACTATCAGAGAAAAATCATTGTGTCTGATGTTTATAAACA